GAAGAACACAGAAAATGGGATCTCAGACACTACTCTCAGGACCCAAATTCACAGGACTCAATATGAAGGGAAATCTGAATCAAGACAATAACAACAAGAAACCCCACTTCCAAGCTAGTAAACCCACAGAGCTCAGTCATAACCTTCCACGGGAAGTTTCTACGACCCAGTGTGTGAGTGGGGCTCCTGAGGAAGATAACTCCAGATAAAAGTTAAATCACAAACAAGTCCTGCAACGTTCTTTATGATCAATAAAACTTGGCCTGGCTGGTGTGGGTCAGTGGATGAGCTTCAACCCGTGAACCAGAAGGTCACAGTTCAATTCCCGGTCCAGGGCACATGCCCAGGTTGCAGGCTGAATCCCTAGTGCACGGTGTGCAGGAGGCAGTCGATCAATGATTCTCTCTCATCATTGATGTTTCTATCTTTCTCTCCCTCTCCCTCCTCAATAAAAACATAGCTTAAAAAAAAAGAAAACTTGAAATTAACTAAACGCCCTTGAATCAAGGATATGATAAATAAAGTATGGTATAGTCATATGGTAAAATACATTTAGTGTTAAAGGGACTGTACTAAATCAACATAGATAGGGCACAACTGTACAAAATTAAACATAAAAGAGTAAACAAAATATATAAAATCTGTAGTACTTATCTAACTTTTTAAAAATAGAAGTATAAAAATGCATATAACATACATCAATATGATTTATGCACATAAAATAATAGGCTGAAATATTACACATTAAATTAGTTATAGTGGTTTTCCTCTGAGGTGGAGAGAGTAATGTGATTAGACATGAACAACAAAGCAAACTAAAACGTCATCTGAAAAGATTTAGTTTAAATAAACAGTGTCAACAACTGTTGATTCTTCGTGATTGTGTACCTTGGTGTTTGTTCCCTTTATTCTTTTTCAATTTTTTATTTTCTCTTAAAACTGAAAAACATGCCACTAACTGGTACAGGGTGTCCCAAAATTCACACAAGAAGTAATTTTGATAGAAAACACAAGTTTATAATTAAAAATTGTAAATTTTTTATTGATTCATAAAGTATACAGTATAGGGTTATGTATGGAATAGCATATCGAGTAAATAGCCTCCACGGCTTTGCTGGCACATCCACATTCTTTTGTTGAAATTTTCCATGACCATTTTGCATAAATGTGGCTGAATTTCGATGAGGCTCATTTTCATCTTGATGGCTTGGTTAACTGGCAAAATTGTTGCATTTGGGGTTCAGAAAATCCATGAGTGATTGTTGAGAAACAAATGCATCCACAACGTGTCATTGTTTGGTGCGGATTTTGGGCTGGAGGCATCATTGGAACATTCTTCTTCGAAAATGCGGCTGCTCAGGCAATAACAGTTAATGGTGACAGGATAATCCATTTACCCGATATGCTATTCCATACATAACCCAATACTGTATACTTTATGAATCGATGAAAAATTTATAATTTTTAATTATAAACCTGTGTTTTCTATCAAAAGTACTTCTTGCATGCATTTTGGGACACCCTTTACAAGAACTGAAGACAGCCTCTGTCTACCTCAACGACCAGTTGAAAATAATCTGCCATAACTGATCAATAAAACACTATTCATGGAACATGAGCAAACACACACGGTCAACCTGAATCCTTGCTCTACAAAACCCAATTTCACCTGTAGACTGATCCAGCTCCCAAAGTGAGATACATTTTTGCCATTACCACATGTGTAGATGCAACTTTAAAATGGTTATTCGGGCATGAAGTGAAGGTTGAATCAAGGAATTCTGAAGGAAGAAAGAGGACCCATCTCCTTGTCCACACAGCTCTAGGTGCTCTCCACTGTCTCCCTCCACTCACCCCCAACAGGGAGCTGCTGATCACAGCGCCCCCAGTGGCCTGGGAGGAGCAAGGCACAGCTCCTTTCCTTGCATGTGCCCTGCTAGGAGCAGGGCAAGCCGCTGGCCGACCCCTTTCCAAGGGGCTCTGGTTCTTGGCCACTAGGGGCCACCTCTTCCTTGGAGGCTCTTGTGGAAGTGGGTGTCCTCTGCCAAGGCTAACGTCCCTTTCTCATTCTGGGTTCCTGACCCAATCGCACAGCTAATTTTGGTAAAGGTTTTTAAAAAAATAATATGCTTCTGTCATATGTAAGATCAGAATGTGCCTTGCTACTGATAGAGTGACTTTCAAAAAGGACAGTACGGTGGCCTCCTCACCTGGTCTTTCATTTCGGCATAGACTTTCTCCGAGTTCAGTTCCACCTGCCGCTTAAACTCCTCCAGGGCAGCGTCTGCCTGCTGGGCCTGCAACCTCTGAACCTCCGTCACACGAGCCAGCTGCTCCTCTTTCTCCCTGGAAAAGTTCAGAGAAGCTTCAGAGTCCAAATATGAAAGAACCAGGCTTGAAAGAACACTATTTAACCTTCTCTAAAACAAAACTCAGATTTCAATTTTTTGATCCAAATTCTATAAAACTTCTCTTTGATAAGTTGACAATAACATTACTTGTCTCAGGGGAATAAAAGGGTATAGACACATAATATGTGTTCTGATCAAAGCACAACTACTTTCAAAGATTTCCCTAAAAACAAAACTGATTGAAAGCAGGCATCCCCACGTCGGACTGAGCCCTCCAATGGCCAACGGGAACTTGAATTTGGCCAAGTGCATTTTTACCCTCTTACATTAGTCCACACAAGAAGCAGGAAGCCTTGAGTTTTATTCAGGGTATCCCTGAGATACATGGATTCTTTTGTTTGAATACTCGAATATTTGAATATTAAAAGAGCACAAGAGAAAAGCCTAAAGTGGTGTAAATTATTTTGGGTACCTCAGCCTAGGCCTAGGTTGGCAAATGTGATGGACAGTTGTTACAAATGTTGGATGGACATTTGCTCTGGTGTTATTGACCCAAACAACTGAGAGTGGCTGCTTAGAACACTCTGTGGGAAGGATCTGAGACCAGTCACAGAGGAAGGGCTGTTGTGGTTGGTGCATAAATAACAGCCCACTGCAGGAGACTGGGCTGCAATAGCTACTTCTTTGCCATACTATAGAGACGAGTCCCCTGTCACTCGTACATTTTGGGGGTTCTCCTGAAAGCACCTGGAAAGACTATTTCATGATTGGGATTACAATTTTTCAAAGGTCTACTTTTGCTTGCTCAGTCTGTCTATAAATGGAAAAGAAAGTATACTGGACAATAGTTTATAATAATACATGACTTATAGCTGAAATATCAGCTTTGTTCTATGAATATTGAAACTCAGTTGTATTACACCATTTTGTCCAATAATTCACAAGAGCTATTTAAACACTTTCAATTTAATAGGACCAATATTTTCTCTATGTCACCTCATTCTTACCTACTAAATTTAGTTCATTTACTTTATAACTGACTTATGGCCACATAAGTCAAAGTCATAAACTGTAATTATAATCAGGTACCTATTATTGACCATATTAAAAATATATATTTTAAAAATAGTTTTGAAATAAAACCTTGTACAATAAAGCATGTTGCTTTTAATTAATAACTTCTATCCTGATTTACAAATAGAAAATATTATTTTATATTAAATAGCAAGTAAAAGGAAATGCGTGAAATCTCCCAACTAATTTTAGCCCACTACACAGTCTGGAGCTAATTTAGTAGTAAAACTAAAAAGCAAAGAAGGCCTCATTCAATGCAAATCAATGCTCTTGTCCAGTGAAACCATGGCAAACACAGAGCTCTGCTATTATTTAGGAATTTCTGTCTTAATATAAATAAAGTATCTGTCTTAATTTAAACAGATTATATTCATTTTAATTTTAATGAGGGATCAATTTTCATCTTTATCAAAGTCACAAAATGGAAGAAAAGACTTTCAGCGTTTGAAAAAGAAAATCTGCTCCTTACTAACATGAGCACAGTATTCCTTTTTATGATTCCAAGTAGTGTCCTGTAAGAAGCAAAAAAAAAAAAAAAAGTGACTTTGAAGATTAGTTTTTCAGCAGAATTTGTGGGGCCAAGTATAAATGCATCACTCAAATGCCTTAATGCTGGGCCTCCGTGAAGATAAAAAGGTGGAAAGAAGATTTGCTTTTTAGTTCTGATTTATTTATAAAATTCAGTAAATTTTTCTCATCTGGATATATAAAGCACAAAGAAAAAAGAAGCTGAATTCTTATATAACCATGAGCCAGCTCAGATTAAAGGATGCTCTGAAGCACATGATTATTCCAAAAAGGCAGTAAAATGCAGGAGACTAATGGAGTACCATTTAGTATTTCTTGAGCTTTACAAGCTAACATTTATATGTGCAGGCCAACCTTAATTTGAAAATCCTCCCTTTGCACATTTGTGTACCAGCACTTTTGATAATGATGGCAGGGATCCAGCATGCATTTATAAGGCTTCACATTACAGTATACTGCATTTGCTGCCAGCTTGGCATCTCCACTGGAAACTCCAAGAAAAACAAAACAAAATAAAAAACTTCAAACAAGTTTGAAAAGCAACTAGAAGAGTCTCCATTCCTTTTCCAGCTGAGCTGGTAAACAAGACTTCCAAACAGTTATATCATCTATGTTCATGGCTTCTATTGGGCCTTAGACTGGTTAGAGTGAGTTGGTCAAAAAAAAACACACTAAGATAGAACTATCACTTAAAATGCACTAAAAATAATACCTTTCACTAAGCATGATAAATGGCTTCTTCACATGGTTGCTAAGACTAGTGGTCTCTGCTAAATTTCTGTTTAAAAATGGTAACCACTATGGGTATCTAAACATTTGAAACATTAAGAGTCAAAAAGGATGCTCAGCCAGCATGGCTCAGTGGTTGAGCGGCAATCTATGAACCAGGAGATTACGATTCGAATCCTGGTCAGGTCACATGCACAGACTGCAGGTTCAATCCCCAGTGTGGGGCATGCAGGAAGCAACCGATCAATGATTCTCTCTCATCATGGATGTTTCTCTCTCTCTCTCTCTCTCTCTCTCTCTCTCTCTCTCTCTCTCTCTCTCTCTCGCTTTCTCTTCCTCTCTGAAATTAATAAAAATATATTTCTTAAAAAGAGTCAGGAAGGAATACCTGGTAAAATAGAAATTAGTACGGGTCTTAATATTGGAAAAATGACAATGCTCCTCAAATTGAATGCAAGGGACCCAGACTGGGTGAAATAATCTTAAAAAAGAAGAACTTATTACAAAGCTAGAGTAATAAAAAGTGTGCTACAGGCCTAAGGATAGATCTATAAATCAATGAAATAGGATTCAGATTCCAGGAGTGAACCCTATCATTGAGCATCAGTAACTTTTCAGCAAGGGTGCCAAGACAGCCCACTGGGGAAAGAATAGTCCTTACAGCAAATAGTGCTAAGACAACTAGATATCCATATGCAAAAGAATAAAGTTGTATTCCTTCCTTACAACATATACAAAAATTAACTCCAGATGGGCCGCAGACCTGTAAGAGCTAAAAATATAAAACTCTTAGAAGAAAACACTGAGCTACACTGTCTTAGATATAGCACCAAAAGCAGAAACAAGAAATTAATTAAATTGTAGATAAAGAGACTTCGGCAAATTAAAAAATTCTTGTCCTGCTAAGGATATTATCAGCAAGTGAAAAGAAAAACCATAGAACATGAGAAAATATTTGCAAATCATATTTCTGAAAAGAGACTTGTATCAAGAATAAAGTACTTTGCCGAAACCGGTTTGGCTCAGTGGATAGAGCATCGGCCTGCAGACTGAGAGGTCCCAGGTTCGATTCCGGTCAAGGGCATGTACCTGGGTTGCGGGCACATCCCCAGTGGGAGATGTGCGGGAGGCAGCTGATCGATGTTTCTAACTCTCTATCTCTCTCCCTTCCTCTCTGTAAAAAATCAATAAAATATATTTAAAAAAAGAATAAAGTACTTTTACAACCCAATAATAAAAATATAACAATTTAAAAATAGGTGAAGAATCTGAATAGACATTTCTCCACAGAAGATATACAATCAGCCAAAAAGCACATGAAAGGACACTCAAGAAAATACATATTAAAACCACAATGAGATACCATTATACAACTTAGCTTGGCTATAATCAAAAGACAGATAATAACAAATATTGTTCGTTTTGCTTTCATGGGGTAATATAAACCAAAACCACAGTAAGATATCATCCATCTCAAATCTATTAGAATGGCTGTCATCAAAAAGACAAGATAACAAGTGTTGGTGAAGATGTGAAGAGAAGGGAACCCTTGTGCACCATCGGTGAGAATGTAAATTGATACAGCCACTATGTAAAACAGTATGAAGGTCCCTCAAAGAATTAAAAATAGAACTATGGTATGTTCCAGTAATAATTCTTCTGGATATATATCTGAAGATAATGAAATCACTATCTTGAAAAGATATCTGCACCACCCCCATGTTCACTGCAGCATTATTTACAATAGCTAAAACATTAAAACAACTTAAGTGTTCATCAACAAATGAGTAGATAAAGAAAAATACACTAACACACACACAATGGAATATTATTCAGCAATAAAGAAGGAAATACTAGCAGTTGCAACAACAACTGACAGCGAAAGACAAATGCAGTATGATCTCACCCAGTTGCAACAACATGGATAGACCTTATTTTACTTATACTAAGTAAAATAACTCTGACAGCGAAAGACAAATGCAGTATGATCTCACTTATTTATGGAATCTAAAAAAACCAAACTCAGAAAACAGATTGGTGGTTGCGAGGAGATCCATAAACCCTTTGAAGTCAACTGGATCTGAATCATGATTCAGAAGATCCTGGCATCGCCCTCCTAGTCACTTAGCATGTTCCAGTTGCTGAGACAGGGTCCTGGCAGCAACGCCTGAGAGTCACTTGGTCAGATACTGCAGAAAACTGAGACGTATGAAGAAATGTTTCTTATTCTGGGGAAACTACAACCTGATCGAGGCGAAAGATAAAATGCAAGGGAAAAAATCAAAGAGTAATGTAATATTATATGTTTTGTGACAAATTCTAAGTGTTATAGGAATCAATAAATGGAAAGAGGCCATGAGAGTCCGTACAAGAAAACCAGACTCAGAAGATAGAAGATTTGTCTGTAAAGTATAAATAAAGCAACATGGCTAAAGTTTTAAACAGTTTAAAGTTTTCCATAATAATTTTGTGCTAAACTAACTTAGCCTAAAATATGGGTTTATAAATAAATTAGAAGAACTCTACCTCAGCAAATGGAAAAGCAATTGACATTTTTATAAAAATAAGAAAACCTTGAGAGAATTATCCTTAAAGATAAAACAGCTACAGTGTATAGTGAAGAAACATTCCTTTAAAATCTTTAAACTTCAAAATAACCCCGAA